CAAGATTACAGCCAGTTCTTGAACCAAACCTGCTTTAGATAGGGAGGAAATAGAAAAAGGAGAGTTATATTTTCCAATTCAGAAACAAACCATCAGTTCTGGTATCTTTTCATTTTGAGCATGTATTTTATTAACCTTCTGAAAAAGTATCCACCCTAAATATTGATGTTCTCCCACTTTTATCTACAGATTACATTGGCACAGTTTAACTTTGTCAGGCAACCTCAATGCTTCAGCCTATAGCGGAAATGTCTAATGTTTTCTTTTTTTACTGAGGATGCTCATTAACCCTTGATACATAGGCTGGGCTATTCTACCCCAGCTAGTGGGCCAGTTTCCTTGGGTCTGTGGCATGGGAATGTTACTATAGAGAAAAGAGCTGGGAGCGGAGCAGGCTGAGGACTTGTGTTGAGCTAATTCCAACCCATTTTCCTGCAATTTATGACCACCCTTTCTACTCCTGGCCTATCAGAGAAAACTGCTCTCTGTTATCAGGTCCTGCTCCCTCCCTCCCTCCCACCCAGAAAATGAGCTGCAACTGGAGAGTTAGTAGCAGAAAGCCCCAAACAGCTCCCTGATCACATGGCAACTGCAGGATGAATGCAGGTAGCTGCAGTGCATTACACCTCCTCTCCTCCCTCCCCCAACACACACATACTCATATTGTGGCAGTCCATCATGCATAAAAGAAAGGCTGCCTTCTTTCCTCTATTGAAAAGGGAAACAGTGATGAGGGTGCTTCTTTTTCTCAAATGAAGCTCCTGGAAGGAAAGGCTGGGATAAAAGAGAACAAAGCCAAGATCCTTCCCACATCTTAGGATTCAAAGAGTAAGCCTTTATGGTTCTAAAAGGTAAAGAACTATTAAAAGGAAAATGTCTTGTGTTTGATGGGAAATGATGTGAAATTACCATCATTTCACTTCATAAGAATGTGTGTGTGTGTGTGTGTGTGTGTGTGTGTGTGTGAGAGAGAGAGAGAGAGAGAGAGAGAGAGAATAAATCCAAGTGAAACTTTGCCAAAACTACCAAATTGTCTGTTTATTGTTTGTACCCTATGAAGACCACGGAAATCTGAAAGTTTTCCAATCACAACCATGCATCAGACTAAACTTTCCAAAAAGGTATGAGAGTTGATTGGTTTCAGCCTTTTGTTTTGTTTTTAATTTTGTGGCACTGTAGTGTCTTGACCACATTGCTAATTCTGTCTAATTACATTTTTGATCCTATGTCTTTATCTACCCTGGAATTCTTTATAAACAACATCTTTGTTAAAGTCTCAACATTCCTGTTTCTTTTATTTAAAAGATGTGAAAGTTCACAACACCCCTGCCCTGAGATATCCAAGAGACTCGCTAGGAAAACTGGAGAAGACGAGGCTTGACATTCTTGATATTTATAAGGTAACACGTGTATGCAGGGTTGAGAAGCATTTAGATCTGTCACTGACAAATCCATCCCACCAATGAGACCAGTCTGGGATGAGGAGTCTGCCACACCAGCATTCCCAGACTTCCTTGAAGAAAGACAAGCTTGTGATGATAAACCTAAACTGATAGACAGAGGGGGTGTACAGGTGGGAGTTGTCTCCAGTGCTCTGTAGCCTCTAGAACAAGAACAAGAAATGAATGGGCCTATGTGTGAACCTAAGGGATCCTTAAGATACCCCCCACCATGCCTAACCCAAAAAGTCCTCCCTTCTGCTGCAATGCCCACTTTCAATAGATGTGACAGGGTTATCAGGTCAGTAAACAGGTTAGTTTATGATGCAGCTGGGGTAGTTAGTGAAGAACCAATACATTTAGCTAACAGGCTGGTGGAACCCATAGTTGACTTCCTCAGACCCTGGGGAGACACTGTGGACTTGGCATAATATGGAGTGAGATTTGCCAGGATGACAATTCTCAGCTGGGGGGAGAATTTTGAAATAACTGCCCTTATTTTGAAATAATAAGCAGAGTGTCCACACTACCAAGCCCATTATTTCAAAATAACAGGTTGGCTATTTCAGAAAGTATTCCTGCTTACTATGAGAAATAGCGCTTATTTTGAAATAGTTATTTAGAAATACTGGTAATGTGGATGGTCTGCTGCTGCTATTTCAAAATAACTACTCCCCTGAGTCATTCAAACTCCTTAGTGCTTCCTGGGGATCTAAATCAAGGTAGCGCATCCACAATAACGGAGCCTGCCTTCGACTAATTTTGAGGCTCCCCCACAGTGGGGCCATGCTATTTTGATTTTGTTATTTCAGGAGTTATTATTTTGAATTTAGTTATTTCAAAATAATTTCCTAGAGTAGACATGCCCTAGGCGACAGCTCATTCCATAGCCCCAGGAAAATTCACTTGTGTATTAGTATATAGATCAAAATTATTGTAAAATGTATGAGTTGTATTGGTGTTTAAATATGAAAAGTAGTGAGATGGTACTTGCATTGTTTTCATTTATCTGTATCCCATTATAATGTAGTCAAAAACATTTACTTTGTATAGCCACCTGTAATTAAACAAAACATCCAATGAAAAAGAAGCCTTATGGAATGTAGCCGAAAAACTTTACCAATAAAGTGCGAATTTCGAAGCGATTGGTCATTGTGTGTGATGACTGGCGGTCAAAGACTCAAAATGCATTCCTCACGCCTTCATCATAGGAAAAGCCCTCATGGACAGTGACACTAACAGCTTGTTTTTGAGAGAAGCTGTAAGTATGGATTCAAGGAAAGATCCTGTGTCTCTGGGCTGTTTGGATTCTTGGGGTACATCTAGACTACATGACTCTGCCGACAGAGGCATGTAAAACAGGCTACCCGACATAGTCAATGAAGCAGGGATTTAAATATCCCCGGATGCATTAAAATAAAAATGCCTGCCATGCTGTGCCGGCTCAGCTGATTGTCGGCACAGCACACAAGTCAAGACGCGGATCGGTCAACAAGGGAAGCCTTTGTCGACCGCTCCCTTTTGCCTTATGAAATGAGGTTCTTCTTCGAGTGGTTGCTCATGTCCATTTGAAGTAGGTGTGCGCACCGCGTGCACCGTGTCTTCCGGAGCATTTTCCCTAGCGGTACCCAGAGCGCCGGCAGGGTGCCCCCTGGAGTGGCGCCGCCATGGCAGGGCATAAGTACCCCTGCCGGCGCTGCCCCACCTCAGTTCCTTCTTACCGCCGTGACGGTCGTTGGAGCATCTCTATCTCTCTCAGTCTCTAGTTAGTCGCCAGTCCCGGTCAGTTTCGGGCCGCGCTCGATCTTCGGTGCAGCCCAGCTCCTTGCCAGCCCCCCACCTGGTGGTACCGGTGCCGTACCCCCTTTCTATGTGGAGTCTCTCAGACGTTTACTCAGGCGTCTCTCCCCTCCATGGCACCGGGCCTCCTGGAGTTGATGTCCATCGCGTTTACTCAGGCATCTCTCCCCTCCACAGCACAGGGTCTCCTGGAGTTGACGTCCATCTCCGCTTGGCGGTACCGGTGCCGTACCCCCGCAACCATGTGGCATTTACTCAGGCGTCTCTCCCCTCCACGGCACCGGGCCTCATGGAGTTGACGTCCATCTCCGTGCCCTCACAAGCACCGGATTCAGCCCGATGGCAGTCGGCGGCTCCTACAGCACCGCCCCCGGTACCGGGCCTGGGTCCCCCGGTACCGTATGTGACGGCGGCGTCTTTCCCGGCACCGGGCCTAGGCACCCCGGTGCCGCAACTAACACTATCCACACTACCAGCACTGGGCCTGGGCACCCCAGTGCCGCAACTGCCGGCAACTACCCCACCAGTGCCGGGTCTGAGCACCCCGGTGCCGCAACTGCTGGCGACTACCCTACCGGCGCCGGGCCTGAGCACCCCGGTGCTGCAACTGCAGGCAACTCACCTACCGGCACTGGGCCTGAGCACCTCCGTGCCACAACTGCCGGCGACTACCCTACCGGCGCCGGGCCTGGGCACCCCAGTACTGCAACTGCAGGCGACTATCCTACCAGCACCAGGCCTGGGCACCCTGGTGCCGCAACTGCCCATGTTGACTCTCCCAGCACCAGGACTGGGCACCCCGGTGCCGCAGCCGGCGGGGACTCTCCCGGCACCGGCCATGGGTCCCCCGGTGCCACAACTCATCCGGCCTCACCGTACTCACGCGGGCAAGCCAGAATCTATGGCAAGGTTTGCCCTGCACTCCTCTTTGGCTCTGCCTTGGCCGGAGTCTGATTATTCGTCAGATTCCGACGCAACCTCTGTTCGGTCAGGGTCCTCAGGAGCTTCCTCGTCCCGGGACCGTCCTCAGCAAACTTGGCCTCCGCATCCGCAGTGGCCGTTCTGGACTCCCTGGGCCTACCATCAGTGGCAGGGCCCGGTGCCCCCTCCTTCGGTGTCGGGGCCATTGGGTCACCTCTCCCAACCTTTGGCGTCCCTGTCTTGGGCCCCCTCTCCACTTGGGGCTCCACAACCAGATTCAATGGCGCAGGCACCGGAAGCGGAGATGAACCCGCAGGGTACACAGGGTGTACAACCGCCACTGCACTTAGCGCCATCTGGCTCTATCCCAACCCAGAAGTCCTCGTCATTGTCCCCGGACGAGGCTCTAGCAGACCCGGCACCTAGTCTGCCTACCATGGATGCCCGTACGCACCAGGAACTTCTCCGGCACATGGCATTGAATCTAGCCGTCCCAGTGGAACCTGTCGTTGAGGACACGGATCCAATGGTGGACATCATCACTGAGGTCGCGCCCACGCAGTTGGATTTACCGCTCAATAAAACGGTGACCAAGATCTCTAAGGCCCTGTGGCAGACGCCGGCGACCTTGACCCCTACCTTAAAAGGGGTCGAGAGGCGCTATTATGTCCCGCACTTGGGACATGAGCATTTGTATTCGCAACCCATCCCAGGATCCTTGGTCATGCAGGCTGCGGCCCAAAAGGAACGGCTTCCTCAGCCTGGTCCATCTCCAAAGGCAAGAGAGCCTAAACGGCTGGATCTGATGGGCTGTAAGGTTTACGCTACAGGGGAACTACAGCTCTGCATCGCGAACCAGCAGGCGATGTTAAGCCGGTATGCCTTCAATACCTGGCAGGCAGCTGAAAAATTCAGGGATCAGCTTCCAGCGGAGGACCGCCAGGAGTTTGCTGCCATTGCTTCCAAGGGCAAAGTCATCGCACGAACTGCCCTCCAGGCATCCTTGGATACTGCTGACTCAGCAGCCCGCACCATGGCGACCGGCGTTGTGATGCGTCACGGAGCCTGGCTGCACGTGTCAGGGATTCCCCCTGACGTGCAAAATACAATCCAGGACTTGCCGTTTGAGGGAAAGACTTTGTTCTCGGAGCACACTGACTCTAGGCTCCATACCCTAAATGACACAAGGTCCATGTTGAAATCCTTGGGCATCCACACGCCTGCCCCGCAGCGTCGACAACTGCCCTATCGACAGCAGAGGAGAGCGCAGCCCCAGGTCCCCCGTGGGGATTACTGGAGGCACCACTCCCGGGCCTCTGGTGGAGGTTCCGGGGCGGTTGTGCACCCCCAGGGCGCATGGGGTCGGCGGCGTCGCCCCAGGGCGGATAACCAGCGGGGAGGTCCCCATGGCCCTTCCCATCAGGGCAAGCCACAGTTTTGACGTGCTATTCGAGGGTCCTGTACCAGTCTCCCACCCTGGGCCCCCGTTTGGGGCCAGGTTATCCCTTTTTGCCCGTGCCTGGGCACTAATTACATCAGACGCCTGGGTTCTAAACATCGTAAATGGGGGCTATACCATCCCATTCCTGGGCCCACCGCCTTCAAACCCCCCTTCTCCATTCCCACTAAGGGACACTCCTCATGAACACATCCTGTGCCAGGAGGTGTCTGTGATCCTTGTAAAAGAGGCAATAGAAGAGGTTCCCTTACACCTGCGGGGAAGGGGATTCTACTCCCGATATTTTGTTGTCCCCAAACCAAAGGGAGGGGTCCATCCCATCTTGGACCTCAGAAATTTGAACAAGGCGGTCCGAAAACACAGGTTCAGAATGGTGACCCTAGCCTCGGTCATCCCAGTGCTACAGTTAGGAGACTGGTACGCGACCCTCGACCTCAAGGACGCCTACTTCCACGTGGCAATCAGAACCAGCCACAGGAGGTTCCTCAGGTTTATGGTCGGCCAACACCATTTTCAGTTTACGGTGCTCCCCTTTGGGTTGTCCACGGCACCAAGGGTATTCACCAAATGTATGGCTGTGGTTGCGGCGTTCCTCCGCAAACAAGGGGTACACGTGTTCCCATACCTCGACGATTGGCTAATCCGAGGTCGCTCATACGAGCAGATAAAAGCTCACGTGACACTCACGAAGGCCCTCTTCCTAAGACTCGGGCTTATGCTAAATGACGAAAAGTTGTCCCTGACTCCCTCCCAGCATCTGGAGTTCGTGGGGGCCCTTCTCGACGCGAGGGTGGCAAGAGCTTTCCTCCCCAAGAGCAGATTCCTCTCCATAATGGAGCTGATCTCGGGGTTAACCCGGTCCCCTATCACGACCCCTCGGGTCTGCTCCAGGCTCCTGGGTCATATGGCGGCTTGCACGTACACGGTGCGCCATGCCAGAATGAGAATGAGACCCCCTACAGGCTTGGTTGGCGAAGACCTTCAACCAGTCCCGGGGTCTTTGGGACTCAATTATAACCGTGCCCCCGGAAATCCTGACCTCCCTCCAGTGGTGGACCCAGGAAACCGTGGTGTGCAGCGGGGTCCCTTTCACTGCCCCTTTCCCCTTCCTCACGCTGGTCACCGATGCTTCAGACCTGGGCTGGGGAGCACACCTGGGGCGACACAGGACTCAAGGCCTCTGGTCCCCTCGGAACATACCCTCCACATTAACGTCCGGGAATTGCGGGCGGTGAGGAGGGCCTGCAAAGCCTTCCTACCAAGTCTCTCACCACTCGATCCTGGTTCGTTTGGACTATACGGCAGCGGTCTTTTATATCAACAAGCAAGGGGGAGCCCGGTCACCTCCCCTCTGCAAAGAGGCCCTGCTGCTCTGGAACCTGTGTGTGGAACACGACATCACGCCACGGGCAGAGTACCTTCCGGGGTGCAAGAATCTGTTAGCAGACACCCTGAGCAGATCCTTTGGAGCCCACGAGTGGTCGCTCAAGGATGCCGCTCTCCATCAGGTTTTCCACAGGTGGGGTTATCCCCTCCTAGACCTGTTTGCATCGGAGCACAATGCAAAGTGCCGGAACTATTGTTTCCTACTGGGTGTGGGGAAATATTCCCTGGGGGATGCCCTGACGACCGTTTGGCCAGAGGGCATTCTCTATGCTTTTCCCCCGTTTCCCCTAATTTCCAGGGTGTTGACCAGAGCGAGGACATTTCGGTCCTCGATCATTCTCATAGCCCCCAGGTGGCCCAGGCAGTTCTGGGTCCCCATCCTAGTGGACATGCTTACCCAAGATCCAATAGCACTCCCTCCAGTCTGGGACCTGCTAACTCAACCTTGGGACGAGGGGATCATGGTTCACCCGGATCTCCGGTCTCTCCACCTAACGGCCTGGTTTATCCGTGGTTGAGCCAACCTGAAAGGGAATGTTCCCGAGAGGTTCAGATGGTCCTCCTCAGTAGCAGGAAACCCTCTACTAGACAGTCGTACGCTGCCAAGTGGCGGCGCTTCTCGTCTTGGGCGTCCCGGAGACGAGTACACTCGTCCTCGGCTCCTATTCCAACTATTCTTGACTTCCTTTTTTAGCTTCGGTCTAGTGGCCTATCTTTCTCTTCTATCAAAGTCCATGTGGCATCTCTTTCCGCCTTCCATGTTGGTATGGTAGACAGTCACTCCAACTTTTCCCTCTGTTGGTGGTAGATTTTTAATTATGGGCTGTGTGGATCATCCAAGAACTCTTCTCTAGCACATAAGGGTATGTCTACACTTGCAGCTTCTTGCGCCAGAAATATGCAAATGAGGCTAAGCGTGGAATATCGCTGAGCCTCATTTGCATACCTAATGAACCACCATTTTTGCAGAAGAGGCTCTTCTGCCAGAAGGAGCTGTCTACACTGCCCCTTCTTGCACAACAAAAACCCTCTTGCGCAATGCCATTCTTCCTGAAAAGTAACTGGCATAACGGTGCTGGTGCCATTGACAGTGCCATTGACAATGCCACAAGGCCTGTGTAATACAGCATCGTGGCAGCCAAGACTGGTTCCGGGAGAGGTCCCAGCACCGACGGGGTTGAGGCCAGTTGGGCACTGCGTGAGGCCTGGCAGCCTGTGTCGGGGCTGGCACTGAGGTAGAGGCAAGCGGTACTGGTCCCACAGGGGATGGTCCCACTGCAAATGTGACTGGTGCCGACCGATCCAACCGGTGCGGAGGAGAAGCCGGTGCCAACATGGCTCCCGGCATCGAAGACCTCGACCTCTCCGCCTCTACTGATGACGGAGGGGAGGTAATGAGGCTAATTAGGCACTGCGCTGCTTCAAAAGTGTCCGGCATCGAAGGACGATGTGAGGGTAGCTGACCTGGACTTGATGGTCGTCCAGCTCTTTTACGCCACACTCCAGCACTCGGAGACGCCTGCACCGGGGATTCAAGGCAATGGTGTAGGCCAGACCTGGACTTCTGGCTCGGAGACCTACCCCACAAAGACCTTGACTTCTTCGGCACTGAGGAGTGAGAGTGGTGCCAAGGCCTCGGTACCGAAGTCAGCGCATGGGATGGAGTGTCATGCATTGACGTCGGCGCACTGCGCACTGTGGAATGTCCAGTCGGTGCTGGCTATAAAGCCGCCTTCACGAGGAGAAACTTCAAACGAGAGTCCCGCTCCCTTTTCGTGCGCGGCTTAAATGACCAGCAGATCGTACAGGCGTCTGCTAGGTGACCCTGACCCAAACACTTTAAACAGCTATCATGAGGGTCTCCCTTGGGCATGAATTTAGCGCATACAGCGCAAGCCTTAAAGCCTTGCAGCCCAGACATTCCTCACCTCCGAAGGGGGAGAAGGAAAAAAACAAACTGCCAACTATCTACAACACTAAGAGAAACGCGAACCATTAACTACTCTAACAGAGACACGCTCCAACAGCTGTCACAGGCGGTAAGAAGGAAGTGAGGAGGGGAAGCGCCGGTAGGGGTACTTATGCTCTGCCATAGCGGCGCCACTCCAGGGGGTGCCCTGCCAGCGCTACGGGTACCGCTAGGGAAAACGCTCCGGAAGACATGGTGCACGCGGTGCGCACACCTACTTCAAATGGACATGAGCAACACATCTCGAAGAACAACAGTTACAGGTAAGTAACCGTTCTTTTTACAGGAGTGGTCGACAAAAGCTTCCCTTGTCGATCGATCCGTGTCTTGACTCACGCGCTGTGCCGACAATCATCTGAGCCGGCACAGCGCAGCGGCCATTTTTATTTTAATGAAGCTGGGGATATTTAAATCCCCGCTTCATTGACTATGCCGGGTAGCCTGTTTTACATGCCTCTGTTGGCAGAGGCATATAGTCTAGACGTACCCTTACAGTGCAATTCCCCCTGTTGGCAAGAAGAGTCTATGCTCACACATCTGAGGCAGGACTTTGTCTATGTACTGTGATGAACTTGCTAAGCTGAGACTTACGATCCTCAGCAATCCCCTTCCCACAGCACAGTCCCTTCTCTCTTTGCCAGGCAAGAGGTAGGAGGACCCTGACCCAGAAAATGAATGGGCTCTTGGGAAGCAGAAGGGCATGGCTAGACAAGAGCAGCAGAGAGAAACTCCCAAGAATTGTGGACAAAGCCATGTGTGGAACAGGGTGTGACTGCTGGCTATTACAGCTGGCTGCAAGGCTGTGTGGGTATTATAGGAGAGCAGCAGTGGCTGGGCAGGAAGCCAATACAAAGGGGCCCCAACACGAGAGAGCTGGATTAGGGGGGGGGGGGCTAGCCGGGCAGCTGCCCTGGGTGCCAACCTATGGGGGGCGCCTGATGGTAGCTGTAAGGGGTGCTGTGCGGCCAGACACGCGGCGCCCCTTAGAGCTGCAATCGGGCACCATGAGCCCGATTGTAGCTGCAAGGTGCGCAGCGCACTGGGGGGCGAAGCTACACATGCGCCATGCGCCCGGGGCAGAGCCGCACATGCATCGCGTGCCCACTGCCCGGAGCACAAGAATGTCTCGAGCCGGCCCTCTCTACACTACAAAGGTAGGTTGATGCTAGTTGAATTTTGTCAACCTAGTTGTGCATGTGTCTACACCAATATTTTGTCTCCGGCTGATGTAAGCACTCAGGGACATAATGCCACCACCTCCCTGAGCGACACAATCACCCTACTTAGGATGAGGCAGTGTGTGTGTAGACATTGCATTACAACATTGCATTTTGCGATGCACTTTTGAGTGTAAATGCGTTTTTGCGCAGGAAGTTTTTGCAGAAGGTCTCTTCCGCAAAAAGCTTCTTGTGCAAAAACCCTGCAGCGCAGACAAAGCCTCTGATTCTAACCCAAGGCTGCTGGAACAATTCACATAGTTGGCGGTGGGCAGGGTGTTGAGAGCCATTGAACCAAACTGTAATCCCGAGATATCATGGAAACCACTTCAAACCACCCCCAACACTAATTCCAGCCTCTATGTTCTAACCCCAAACTATTCTGGCTACACTTATTATTCAGTCTGCTCTGAAAAGAAGGAAACAAACAGGTAGTTCTCTGTTTTTGTATTCTTAAATTACACTTAGATAAAAACCCCTAAGGAGGGCATGGTGAAGATTAATCTATCACTAGATTTCTCTTTTATGAAGCTGTGACGTGATTTTTAAAAATTACTCTTTCAAGACTTCAAGTTGTCTTTCAGTTAAAGAGAACTAAAAAATGAAAAATAGCCCCTCAAATACTCTAATGAACCTGGAATGTTAGAAATGAAGATGATAAATGCACAGTGGGGAGCTTGTTCAGTTTCCTGTTACAAGTCTCATTTCTGTGAGAAAACTTAGAAAAATTTTCTCTGTGAAAAACAGCAGGAAGCTGAAGGAAGCTGCTGCTGATAAAACCAAGTGTATTCTGTGCTGTCTCAGAAATGCCAGAAAAACCACATATCTCATTTACACTTGAAAGACTTTTTCTCCCCAAAAGAGTTTCCTGCATGACAATAGTCTTAAATAGTCTTGTGTCAAAATATCTCAGAAAGCCGTGTTCCCAAACTTGACTCT